AGCCGGCACCCAGGGGGGCTGGTGCGAACCTCGGGAGCAACCCAAGGGGGTCTTGGAAAAAATTAGCCTGGTGGTTTTCGGTTCTCGGTCATCCTCGTGGCATTGTCAGAAAGTGTGGGGCTGGTTAGCAGATGGGGAGATGGTGTTTGGTGGTGTGAAAGGCAGAAATTGGGCAGGGGGTGAGGGAACTCGTGTCCTTTTCCATGGGACGTGGTGGCACTGTGTCCCCCCCCCATCCCACGGCACTGCCAGCAGCCCCAAGCTCGCTACCGTGGTCCTAAGGCACGTTCCCGTGTCCTGCCGGGAAGCCCAGCCCTCGCCAGCCCCACTGCTGCCCCACGCCATCTCCCGATGCCCGTGCCAGCCCTGGGGGTGAGCAGGGGGCTCTCAGCACCCTGCCAGCCCAAGATAACACAGCTCTCATCCCTCCCATCAATCCTGCTGCTTCCTGCAAAGCATCCAAATAAATCCTTCGGTGCAGCAAACTGAATCTTTGCATTTTCTTCGTGAGGGATATGGGGACCAGTCATCAACTTTACGAACATCATTTTCTTTCAGGAAAGGAAACGTAAGATAAAAGAGCTGAGGGTTCCTGCACATAAGGATTTATGGCAGGATGGTTAGAGCTGGGTTTCTTGCTGAGAGCTCAGCTTTTCGCTCCCAGTATGGTGCTGCCCTGCAACTATTTCTGACTTTGGCTGTGGTCGAGGGAAGAGCAGGAAAGGCAAATTTAAAGGTTCATCGAGGGTTGCAGCCGCTTGCCTGCCCATGCAAACAGCCCAAGTCTGCTTCGAGCCCTGCCAGGATGGGCACTGAGCTGGAATGGTAGGATTTTCCTTACGGCCAAGGCGTTGTGGAGTTTGGAGGCACGAGGCCAAAGACTGAAGAGAAATGGGGTAACTGGGGGTCCTGGTTTGGTTAAAAACAGGACTCTGGGCTTTGCAAAGCACAGCCGTACCTTGTTCTTGGGCTGGGCTGGTGCTCGGGGCAGGAGCTGGCTTTGATTCCAGGTCAGCTCCAGTATGAAGAGCTACGGACATACAGATCTCTTCAAATTAACAGCTATATTCTTTTCTTTGTCTTTTAATGAAGCAAAAAAAAAAAATTTAGCAGCCCGGTGCAGTGCTTGAAACCCGACTGTGCAGCAGGGTGCTTTGGGATGCTCCAGAGAGCCGGGTGCCCCAGAGGGGAAGGTGCTGACCACGATGTGTAAGACTAAGAACAGGGTTCTGTGCTGACAGAGCGGTTGTTTTTAAAGTGATTGTGCTTTTAATACTCCAAAGTATTTCTGCTAAGAGGACCCCAGCAATTTATGAGGCGTGGGCTTTCTCCTAGGGCTGGGCCATCTGCGTTTTGCCCTCAGCATGTCAGACTCAGAGCCACAACAGTTCTGTTTGGGACGGGATGGAGTAGGCACTAATTAAAGATCAGAGCATTTAATCTGCTTGATTTCTTTCGGCTGTGGTTAGAGCTGGGAATAAATAACCTGTTTAGCTCAGCCTCTTTTGACATTTGGCCCTAACTGAGAGCAGGGCAGAGGGTAACGGTAGCCGGCAGTCGGTGTCCCCGAAAGCCCCGGCTCGTGCTCCCGGCAGAGCCGTGGTCCGGCCGGTGCGGCTCAGCCTGGCAGGTCCTCGTTACACACAGGCCATCCTTAGAAACGCAAGTCGGTCCAGGCCAGTGATGCTGCCGTGATGCTCTGGAAGGGAAGCTGCTCTGTTCTGAGAGTCGCCAGGAGAAGAGCTGGGGAGATGCCTGCTTGCAGATGCTTTAAAGTGTCTTGGGTTTGGTTTTTTTCTGGAGAGGGGAGTTCTCTGTACAGAGAAGTATTCTCCTTCCCCAATACTTTCTGACTCATCATCTGCAGTGCCTGGGTTGCTGCTTTTTTTTTTTCTTCTTTTTTAGCTAGGGGAAAAATATTCCAGGTTTCTGGTTTTGTTTCGAGGATACAGATTTATCTGTAATTCCCTGTATTTTTAGTGACGTAAATATCTTTTGGCATTTGTGATAACTTGAGCCGGTAGAAGTGATTTATTTCAAGAGTGTTTTGTTTCGGAGGAGCTCAGGGCACCTCAGTAAGTGTTTGCGGTAACATTTATCTGCTCTGAATGGACAAGCTGCTTCAGAACAAAAACTAAATGACAAGAGCCCCTTTCTCTTACTGCAAATCTTGCACCGAGTTTTGCTTAAAAGAAAACAATAAGAGCCTTATCAAATTGCAGGTTTTTTTTTTTTCCCCCAACTCTCTTTGCAATGCCAAGGTTGCCAGAATTTAAGTGTGTTATGTCAGCCGAGTTTCAGCCTTGGACTCCTCCTGAAGCAATAAAGACTGGATTGAAGTCATGTTGCACTCTCTCCTCCAAAGAGGTGTTACAACAAATCCGCTTTCTTGCTTGCTTTTCTCCTTTTTTTTTTAAGGAGAGGATGAGGAGGGAAAAAAAAAAACCCAAACCACAACAAACCTACAGCTTTCATGGAATAAATCCTCTTTAAAAGTTGCTGCAACTTAAGAAAATGCTAAATGCTTTTATTAACTTCTAGAAAGGCTCTGAAGAGCTGCTTTCTTCTCCAGCTGAAAAGCACTCATCCAAGTGCCCTGGCTTTGTTCCCTCCGCACCGGTACAGCCTGGTAATTGTAGAGTAGAAATTCCTCCCCAAAGTGTGCAATGACAAAAGAATAGAAAAATGAGGGGGGGGGGGGACACCACCTTGGGGGAAGGTGAAGGAGCTGCTCCGTGTTTTGGAGGTAGGAGTGCTTTTTTCTTCCCTTTCTCTTCCTTCAACCCACTTCATCCCACTCCTCCGGGCGAAAAACAAAACGGGCACCTGCGCCGAGTGCTTGTTTGCTCGGTGGTTTAATTGCAGCAGGAGGAGCGTGAAGGGGGAATTTAAGCAGCAGAGCTTTGGCTCTTTGTTTCAGGATGAGGAATAGGCTGCATTTCAGTGGTTAAAGCTCCCAGGTCGGGCTGTTAAGTGCCAGCTCCGGAGGAAAGGCTGAGCCTGCCCTCCTTGCAGAGACCTGGGAGCAGCCTGGCAGTCGGCTGCCCATGATGGGAAACTCCAGGTTTATTCCTGGCATGAGCAGGGAGGTCCCACCAAGGTCCCACCAAGGTCCCACCATCCCTCTGCTCTTTGGTGTCTCCTGGTTAAGGAGAGAGGGATGGTGCTGCCCCGGTCCCAGCAAGGCTTGGGGTTGGCAGAGGTGGTGTTGCTCACCCAGCAACATATCCTGGAGGCTTTGCTAGAGAGAAATGAATCTTCCAAAGATGTTATTATCTACTGCACTGGGGTTTTGCTAGCAAAAATAGGATGCAAAACTCCCCAAGCTATACTGAAGCTGGAGGAACAAGGGGAAAGTCACCCGTGCTATCAGGGGCAGGCAAACCAGGGCTCTGCACATCCCTTTCTGAGGGCTGCAGGAACATGGGCCAGTCCTCAAAAGGATGATTTTGGGGTGTTTTTCCCCACCCTTTTTAGTTTGGAGTCTGGAGCGTCTTCTTCTGATTTTACTGCCTCAATGGTATGAAGCCAGACTGCTTCTCCAGTGTAAGTATTAGCTCAGCTGCCTTTTTGTCTTCCTCGGTGGCTATGGGCTTCCCCTGCCCGATGCCCACCAGAGCAAGAGCCGAACCGTCCATGGGCTTCTTGCAAAGAATAACGTGAAGGAGTGGGTGTTACTGGGTGCTTGCAAGAGAAACCAAGGTGCTGCTGCTGCGGCAACACGGCACAGAAGTGGTCTGTGTCCGTGCTTTTCTTGCCTTACTGCATTAGAGGCAGGACTTGTTGCTGTCGAAATCAAGGAGGCATTTCTCTCGGGAGCTAGAATCAGGGAGGGATGTGTTGCTGGATGCTCCTTTGGGCTGTAGCAGAGGGCAGGGCTGGAGAGCTCAGGAGAGCCGGCACGTGGATGCGAACCATCTCGGTGCTGGTTTGGCACGTCCTCATGCCACGTGTTGGCACCGTGGAGGAAACGCTCCTGCTAATGCTCTGGTGTTAAATGACAGGGAATGTCCCAAACTGAGGTTTCTTTAGAAGGTGCAGAAAATGTTGCTAACCCCATCAGCAGTGTTAAGAGGCAAGGGACTGCCCGGGGACGTGAGCTTGCCGAGGCTTTATTAATAAACCTCCTTTGCGAGGAATGTCCTAGCTTGGGAAAGACTAAGACCATCATTAACACTGTCTCGTAAGGCAAACTGAGGCTGTTTCAGAGCAAGGGGTGTCATTAATACAGCGTATTAATAACCTGGCATTACCAGTCCAAGGAATTCCCTGATCCAGCTGCTTTGACGAGGCCACCGCATTAACTTGATAGCTCTTCTCGATCGTTCCTCCCTGTTTCTTTTGCCCTCAACAGATCTAAATAGGGTCTTTTCTGGACCCTGAATTTCAGGCTGGGGTTCCCTGCCAGCCCCTGGGCACCCAAAGATCTCATCCCACCCGGCTGTGCCCTCGATGCCAGCGCCAGGCCGGGCTGTGCTTTGCGGTGCCTTACCCCCCCCTTCTCATGCTCCCCCCCTACCCTCTGTTTCACAGACAGCGTCGGTGAAAACCAGGAGTGGGTGTTAACTGGCCCAGCACAGTATGTCCCAAACTCCGCTTCTGATCCCCCCTCGCTGCTGCTAAAGGGGAGCGAGTCCCCCTCCGCCGTTGGCCCAGCACCATGGTGGGGCAGAGCCCCTTGGACCCCAGCGAGAGCCGGACCGCCATCCTCCTGGAGCCCTTCCTCCATCAGGTGGGCGGCCACATGAGCATGATGAAGTACGACGAGCACACGGTCTGCAAGCCTCTGGTCTCGCAGGAGCTGAGCTTCTACGAGTCGCTGCCCTTGGCCATGAGGCAGTTCACACCCCAGTACAAAGGTAAGGGGAGATGCTGGGAAAGGAGCTAAGGGACGGCAGTGTTGTCAGCAGGATTAGTCCTGAGATTGGGCTAAGGGGCTAGTAGCAGCGCGGGAGGTACTGGCTGGCTCAGTGGGGCTGGGTCTGAGCTGTGGAGCCTATCACTTGTGCAGGTTTTGCTGAGCAAGGATGCTTCCCAGGTAGGAGTGTGCACAGGAGCAGGTCTGTGAGCCTGGGAGGGTTTCCTGGGTCTCTGTGGCTGGAGAGACTCTCTGATGTCTACTAAGGGTTGAGCGTTGGCTGATGGCACCAGGAGATGCTCCCCTCTGCCCATCCCCTTGCTGCCATGGCCGTTGTCAGCCTTGGTAACACAGGGGACTCCCGTTATGTCAAATAGAGCTGAAATTGGTCTGTTCTTCCACGGGACAGGCATGAGAAGATGGAAGCTGAGAGCATCAACACGATCCCCTCCTGGGGAGCTGACAGCCTGGGCAGCACAGGAGCCGAACAGAGAGGGTAAACACAGAAAAAACACGGAACGAGGCGCAGGAATAGGATGGAGTTTCTCAGCAGTTGCTTTGAGGATTTTGCAGGTCGTGGGTCTGAGGGCAAGTGAATGGCGGCACTGAATAGGTGCAGGAAAGCAGGGACTAGGAGAGTCTTGTTCAAAACAGGATTCCCAAGATCTGAGACATCACGTGCTCTGTTCAGTAGAGCATTGAATTAGCATCCCCTGAGCAGAAAGGTCTTCTGTCCCAGGAGCAGAGCCAAGGGTGCCTTTGCCCCACGTGCACGGCCCCATTGCTCCAGGCCTTGGTTTTAGAGGAGGTGAAGGTTTGTTCAGAAGCAGAGAAGTCGGTGAGGGCAAGGAAAGGGTCAGGGTTGGCACTGGCATGAGCTGATGGAGAGATCCTTGGGGCCACCATGAGACATCCAGCCTGAAAAAACAGCCCAGGGATGTATCAAGCATCACTTTTGCCAAGCCCTGCTCCCTCCTGTGAGCACTGGTCCCTGGAAAACCAGAGGTACAGACCACTTCACTTCTTAAAAATCAAATCCAGGCAGCTGCCCTGCCATAAGCGAGACCCTCGTCGGCCAGGGAAGAGCCTCCTGCCTGCCCCTCTGCTTGGTGCCCCCCAGCACTGCCCGGTGCCCCCCTTCAGACCCCTCCCCTGGCCCTAACTGCCCTGAACCACTTTCCCAGCTGAATTTCTCAGCTTAGCTACTGGAAAGCAGCACTTGGTGTCTGTGGGGGTCCTAGTATTTTTTGAAGACATCCTCCCTCCCTCACTTTCTTATTCCCTCACTATTTCTACTTTTACTGCCAGACTGGTGCTGCTCATAAAGCTCCTGACCCTGGATTTTAGCGAGAGGCAAGAAGCTCAGCTGTCACGTAAACACTTAAAATATCTTTTAGTCCTTCAGCGTTACAGAAAAGAGCTCAAAGTGTCAGCCGTGGTTTCGATGTGCTTCCAATCCAATCTCTCCCTTTCCCAAAAAGTCAGGGGCCTTTGCAGATTTATAGGACAATATTAAAAAGATGCTTAAGAAAGAAAAAAAGTCTTCCTCTAAGCAATTTTCTTTAGCAGGGGCCAGGGTTTGGTGCTGGAGAGCTGGGCCCTGCTCTGTCTCTCTAATAAAGATGTTAAGCAGTCCCAGCTTATCAGTTCAGAGGTGGCCTGGTTATTAATACCTTTTTGTCTTCTTTTTCTCTTCTATTGCAAGTCCCGGTGAGTTTTGCGACAAGGGGTAATTAAATAGCAATTCTTCTCCAATTCGGCATTGGGCACTCACATTTTTGTTTCTGGTTATAACTGTCCCAGCCCTGAATGCCAGGCAAATTAAAGAGGTGGAACGTTTTCCCACAAGAGTGATGGGGAGGGGTGTGAGCATCAGGGGGAATAATCCTGAGGTCTCCATCACCCGTTCATACGCGTCCGTGTTCCTCATCTCTATTCTTAGGCTGTGGGGGGATGGCTCGGGGACCATTATGTAATGATGACATTATGTGTGATGTTGATCAAATGTCATCATCCAATTGTAACGCTGAGTTGGCTCCTTAAAAAATGTCTACCACTCACTTAACCATTTCAGGCAGGTTCGTGACCTTGGGACCGGCTTCCCCCCCCACCAGCCCCTTGCAAACCTCCGCCTGCCCCAAGCTGAGCTTGCAAGGAGCTGCTGGACTTGTTTTCAAACCCAATTCTGCTCAGATTCCTATTGCACGTGGCCATAAATAAATGCACTTGTAAATTTAAAAATAAATCCATGAGGGTAGAGCTACATAGCAAAATGCTCCTGAGCATCACTGGGATGCCACGAGCATGGTGACAGCACCCGTAAATACCGGCTGGCTGCCTCCCTGGTGCTGGACAGGAGGCGGACTGCGGCTTTGGTGACACTAAAAGGCCAGCAAAGACAAGTACCTAAATACACCTTTGCTCCCAGCTAGATGTTTTCTTGTTGCAATAAAAGAGAAGGGCGGTCGCCTTAGATTTGTTCTGCACACGTAGGTCACTTGCGGGACCTCTGCAAAACCCCTACGGAAGCACACCAGGAAACAGAAGTATTTTTCAGGCTGAGACGTAGGTTTGTGAAGGCAGGGTTTTCAGCTGGAAGAAGTGAGAGGATCTCATTCCCATGCAATTTAACTGCTCGTTCTTGCCTTTGAAAATCTCCCCATTAATTTTCATATTAATGTAAGATACTTAAGAACTCTTAGTTTCGTGCTATATATAATGTTTCTAGGGCCAGATTGTCAGCACTATGGAAATCAGCACAGCTCCATTGACTTGCAGATATGTAATTGGGACAGTTTTTAAGGTTACAGGCTGCTATAGCGCCGTAACTGAGGCGGAGTGCTAGATTTGGAATCGAGGACTCCGTTTGCCTCCCAGTGACTTTTTAAAAATAAAAAGGCTTTGACTTAGGCAAAAGATACCCTGGCTTTTTTTTCCTGCCTACCTCCCCTGAAAATTCAAAGCGGGTGTCCAAGCTGACAGGAATTTCGCTTGCTCTCAGTTATCTGTAATATGGATTTTTTACAAATGGGACTCAGTGAAGGATCAGGTGGATAACCTTGGAGCCTGAAGCAGACAGAGCTCCCTGTGCTCACCATCACCATGAGCAAAGGACGGAGATTATCTAGCTAAAAATATTACTAGCCCCCTAATTAAGGTTTCTAGCCCCCAGCTCCCTTGGCAGAGCCGCCTGTGTATATTCCTCCCCCATTTCAGTGCAAAATTAGCTGATTTAACTGAGCCTGCCATGGCACACTGTTCAGCCTAATGCTGATTTTACAGCAAAAGGGAACAGAAATGGTTGTGGTACCTAAGCGGAGGGGCTGTACGGAGGGCAGGAGAGAAGTGCATGCAAAGGCAGCTGGAGCTGCAGAGTTACGGGGGTGCAGGACCCGGGGCGGGGTGGGCACCCCCAGTCTAACGGAGGGGGCTGCAGACACACAGGGCTCCTGCACTTCAGGCCGGGAAAACCTCCCTCAGTCAGCAGAACTCAGCAGGCAGGACTCTGCGCACACGCAGAGGGCAAATCCTCCTGTCTGTTTGCTTACTATAATCTCCCTTTAAATGGAGAGAAGGACGTTTGCATATTTATTTGTTTTGGCAACTTCGCTTGGGAGAACGGAGCTTCCCTGCTTATCAAGCTGCCGAAATGCATCTCCTCGCAGTGCCCAACAGACCAAGGGAGGATACTCTGGGGACAGTTGGCTAAAACCCAGCTCCACGTGTTGCCACGGGGGCTCTTTCCAGTAACGAGTTTTGCTGGTCCAACAGCCTTGACCATCCTCTTTTGGATCTGCCTTACTGCAGCTAAACTTGAAAGCCGCAGGGTGCGACGGTGGCGGCTGGCATCCCACTCCGAGCCCCAAAGGGCGATGCTCTAAAAAAGCCTCTGCTGCCTTGAGAGGCTCAGACAGCCCTGACTGAGGGCTGCAGGAGCAGGACGGCGGTTATCAGCCTTTCCCAGAAAGGTCAGAGCCGTCTGGTACGCGAAAAATCATTTGGGATGCAGAGGCAGCCGTCCCCATGCCAGGGATGGGCTGAGACTGGGCTAAACGCGGGACGGACTGAATGGCATTTGAGCCCTGTGATTCCCGTTAGAGTCAGGGAAAACCGCAATGCTAAAATACACAACGGTGTTTTAAGCACTTAGGGTGAAAATTAATAGTCCCTGAGCAAGGTCATGTTCTCCCTCGTGCACGAACACTCGACATGTGAGAGTTCGGTCCTTCCCCTCGTCAGCCATTTGGGTGCTGGTTCTTGGTGCTTGGGGAAGGACATGACCATGACAATGTACGGGCATCCCGTATGCCGGCAGCGCTGCCAGCCCATGCACAAGCCTCTGCCCTTCCAATTAAAGGAAGCAGTTGGCATGCTGGTTGTCTTTGGAAAATTCCTCATCCCCAACCCTCCCTTTGCTTCCTGCCAATGAGAAGCATTTCCAACCTTGCCCTGTCTGAAAAAGTGAGACCTGAATCCCTTGTCATAAATAAGCCAGGAGCTCCAGCTCCAACACAGGGGCCTTTGCTGGGTCACTTGCAGGACAGCAGAGCCTGGAGGGACGGAGCAGAAGGAACGTGATGCTTAGAGTAGGCAGGTTTCAAGCCCAGCCTTGAGCGCAGGGATCATTAGAAAAGGCTGTGGCTGTTTTCCAGGGTCTCAGACTAATGGTGTTTATTGGGCCTCAAATCAGAGTGGGATCAGTGTGAGGCCACTAAAATACAAGGAGGCAGCTGTCCTGCTAAGCACCAGCCCTCTCAGGAAGGCTGGACCACCTCGGGCTGGGGCAGATGGTGGCCAAGCCTGTATGGTAACTCATGGGTTAATCATATTCTTATTTGTTTTTCTCCCTTTTTTGTCCAGGCATCGTTTCTGTGCACCTTAAAAAGGACAGCCTTGGCAACCTGACCCTGATCGCCAGCCCCAGCCTGCAGACAGAGAGCTGCGGCCGGCTGGATAACGCCATCGGTGACTCCTCGGTGACGATATGGCACAAGTGCAAGTGGGCTGCCAGCGCCGGCACCGGCAGCGAGCACACACTTGTCAAGTGGAGCCACACGCAGCTCACCAAGACCTTCAAAGACGGGTGAGGGTCTGCTGCTCCCTGCAAACGTCCTCCTGCTCCTCGTCTGCCACTTTGGGTAGGGTCTAACCGGGATGGTTTTGGTGGCACAACTCCTGCTTTAAGGCAAAGTGAGCAAAAGCAATGCCCAGCCAAGGTGAAAAAAAAAACAAAACCCAAGAAAAGCACAGCTTGGTGGCTTCATGGTTCATCCCTTCCCCAGCTTGTGGATGGAGCGGGGCAGATCTGGCTATCGCTGAGATGCTGTTGCTCAACTATGTGCCCCAAACTCTGCTGTAAACTTGGTTCCTCGGAGCGCAGCGTGCTCCAAAAGGAGAGGCCCCAGGAGAAGAGCAGCACCTAATGCGCTTCTGCTGGCAACCGCCACGCAGCAACTGCGTGCTCGAGGGTGGTGCAACCCTGTCCTCGTCCCGGGGCAGAGCTGTCTCTGAAAGGCATTGAGGTGCTTGTGACCTTAGGGCTGGCAGAGGCTTTCTGCAAGACATCTTTGATCTCTGGTTCAGAAGAGACCTAGGTCAGCTATCACTGAAGGGTGCAATATCGCTACCGTGAAACCACTGCCTTCGGTGTGATGGGAGGTAGGGGGTTTGGGGTGAGCGAGATCAAGGAATGACCCTCTAAGGAGAACAAATCTCATCGCGCCCTCTCTCCCCTCCTCGAAGCCAGCCTCTCTAAATTGGGAATCATTCCTACTGTTGGACAATTTGCTTGTGTTGTGCCCGTTAGGTAGATAAATAGAGATTCCTGGTCCTTGGTGCTATGAATGGCGCTTTTCAAGGGAGCCAAGCACACTTTGAATTTACAGTGAAAGAAAATATTGGCACCCAGCAAAAGCTGGCTTTCTGAAAACTACTTTTACGGAGTAACAAAGGATCTCCACAGGTTGGACATGATGAATATGTTTCCTTTGAGAGTCCCTGAAAATTCACCTTATCAAGTTTGAGGCTCTACAAAAGAGGAGGGGAGAGAATATTCTCTTCTGGATCTTATAAAACAAACGTGTTCTTTTGTGTGTTTTGTCTAGCTGCCCGGGAAAGATGCTATTGAGGACAGACCTTCAGTACCGCACAGATTCACTTTTGGAAGACGCAAATGGAAACCAGCCAGAAAGAAACGGCTACAACCCCTGGGGACTGCACTGCCACAGGCAGCACCTGAACCGCATGTCCTCCAAGCACAACGAGAACAAACTTCATCGTATCCTTTTTTCCTCTCTCCCCTCCAGCATAGTCTTGGCTGCAAATAACAGCTCCTAATCAATGTATGTTTTATTGCAGGGGCATGCATCCCTCCTCTGCCCAGTCTCTGGGAAAATACAGAATAGAGTTGTTCTGTTATCTTCTCCCACTCTTTATTAAAAAAGAATAAAAAAGAAAAAAACTCTCACTCCCCATAAAGGGTATTCAGCGTAAGGATCCCCTTGGCATACATTTAAAAACACAAGTATATAGGAATTAGCAGCTGCCTTGCCTTTTATTTTCCTATTACACTTCATTACCCACCAGTCATGTGAGTAATAGTTTTAACAACTTCCCCCAAATGCACTGGAGCAAGTACAGCACTGAGGGAAGGTGTCGGATTGACAGCCCAGGGCTAGCGTGTCACTAGAGAACGGAGCTGTCGGTGCTTTAATTGGTAGGACTGTACTCCAGTAAATTAACTGAAATTGGCAGCAAGGGGCCTATAGCAATGACATGTTGGTAAAATTGGCTCAGAAAGTCTCATTACAGTTGTGAGCTATTATGGAGTGCGTCAGCAGTTGCTCTGATTTAAGACTGCTTTCAATTAGAATTTAAAAGTATTGGGTTTCCCTTAACTCATGTTCAGAGTTTCTATTGCTTGAAAATGTGGTATCAAAATACAACTATCCCTGCATCCTGGACTTAAAGATGGGAACCCGGCAGCATGGCGATGATGCCTCGGAGGAGAAGAAAGCCCGGCACATCAAGAAGTGTGAACAGAGCACCTCTGCCTCTCTGGGCGTTCGCGTCTGTGGGATGCAGGTAAGACGGAGCCTCGGCCCTTTTGGTGTTTGCCCGACACACGGCTTGAAACCGAGCTGGAAATCCAAAGGGACTCTTTGTTGGTGTAAACTGAAGCAGTTTTATTCTCGTCTGCCACCAAATACAGGCTGTTAAGAACTGACCACTCAGCTGTGTGTCCTATCCTCAAACAGGAGAGGATCCTTAGGGAAGAGGATAGAATATGGCACCCGTACCCCTCTTTGACTTCTGGAGATTTGGCTGCTTTCACAAGCACTGGCTGCATAAGCACCACCCTGCACCACTGCCACCAGTATGACCAGCTGGAACCAGTTTACCCCAGCTGAGAATCTGCCTGTGCACGAACACAGATTCGCCTCTCATGCTCAGCTCTTGGCTGCTGCACAAAAAAGAAAAGCAGAAAAAAGCATCCAATTGCCCTGCTCATGCCTTCACGGCGCTGTCTCATCCTGTTGCTGCAAGAGCGAGGGGTTTATTTTGTGCTAAATATTATGGTTCCTCTTGCTCAGAATCGCTGCCCTTCCTCCTAGAAACCGAAACCACGCATTTGTTTCACTCACACTTCTCAAGCAGGTTTCAAAATGTTCTGCTGTGCCTGAAGGATAATTATGAGAATGATGATTATAAAGCACATATATAGCAGCGTAAACACTCGGTGTCAGACCCTGTGTCCCTTTCTGGTCTCTGACATCCTTCTGTTGAGCAGATTATCCTTTCAATTACAACTGGTGTGTGAGCTAATTCTAAATTCACTCCCTCATTTCTCACTCAGTGTTACCAGAGCCTCACATACAAATTCCTATCTACATCTTGTCTCTCTGTGTTTAAGAAAGCCAGATTATTGCTACCCATGCATTACGTATTTCGAGAAGGTAGAAAGCTGGGGTATTCCTGTACTACTGCAGACTCCTACCATAGCCAGAGGGAAAATGCTGTAAATCACTAGTGACACGGCTATGACTTACAGCTATTTGCGTTTCACAAAGGAGTAATTTATAGCAGTACAACAAGAATCTGCGCTAGTGGTTTAAATTGAATAGTTTAAATCTCCAGAGAAGACAGGAGGTGGGATTCAGCGAGAAGCCTGCAGTACATTGCCAGCATTGCTAGATATTGCTAGAATGCAGAGGATCTGTGTCCCGTTCCTCAGCTTGGGTCTGAACTTTTTAGATTAGGTTGAAAGCCAGAGCTTTGGGAAAAACGAACAACTGAATCTGGATTGTTGCTCTCTTTCCTCAAGGTTTACCAAGTGGACACTGGCCATTTTCTCTGCAAAGATAAGTATTATGGCAGGAAACTCTCACCGGAGGGATTCAGGCAAACCTTGCACCAGTTCCTGTGCAACGGTAACCACCTCCGAATGGATCTCCTGGAGCCCATCATCCTGCGGCTAAAAGCTCTGCTTTCCGTCATTAGGAAGCAAAGCTCTTACAGGTTCTACTCCAGCTCACTTCTCATCATTTATGATGGACAGGAGCACAAGGAGAACACGACACCCTTGGATAATCACCTTCACTTCCAAAAAACAAACTGCACCACGTCACACGGCATTAATCACTCCAGAGTTGACGTCCGGATGATAGACTTTGCCCACACCACTTTTAAAGGCTCCAAAAGCAATCACACCACTTACGACGGGCCAGACCACGGCTATATTTTTGGCCTGGAGAATCTCATCAAAATCCTTCAGAATATCTCGGAAGGGAAATGACAAATTCTGTGAAATAGCCTGAATTTACTAGTGACCGATAGCCCTGCAAAGTACCGCATTGGGTCAGTTGTATGGGACCCTCACCGCTGCTGGATGTCACGTGCACGGACTGGAATGAGAGCATGGACAGCTTGCTAGGAAAGTGCAAAAAAACGCTACGTGCCATTACTGACCTCAAGCGTAAAAAGCAAAGAGCTGAAAGAATCTGTTCTGTCTGCAATCAATCAAAAGATTTATTTCTCTTTCTTGTTTTACTGCTGTCCTTGATTGATTTGTGAGCCAAAAGAAAGCATTACTTGAAAGAGTCTTAACGATAAAATAGGACCTGCTCACCTCTACACTCACAAAGCCAAGTGGGCTAAGGAGATACTGTGCATTTGAGCGAGACTATTAAAATAAGCTGGCAGGTCTGACCAGATTGCAGCATTACTTTCAACTCATGCTCGACGCTACGGGCTGAACGCAAAGACACAAGGAGGAGAGAAAAACGCACCCCCTGACATTCACGCTCCACGTGCCCAGCGCTGCAAGACGGCCGGGTGTTCTCCATCCAGCGTGGGTGTTGAAACACAGACGTACGAGATGCTACAGAGGTTCTGTGCTGCTTAAGGTGTAAAAGCAAGGGGACCTCAGACCAAGAACTTGACCTTGCAAAGGTTTCATATCCCTGCGGGATTATAACAGGGCATGTTCCAGAAACTGGGCTCCGCAGGGGCTGAAGTATGGGAATGCGATGATTCTGTCAGATATCAGTCACAAAACACATTCACAGACAGGTATTTTTGCTTAAAAAAAGGAAAAAAAAAGGAAAAAAATGTGAGATTGAGTCAGGGACTAGACATTAAAGGTCACCTAGAAATTCTTTGATACAAATATTGTGTGTGTGTTTGAAGGAGACAATAACAAAAGACTCAGAATAATGTTTACAGCTTTTGTGGACAGATTTTATTATTACGGAACAAACATAATTCCTTCCTGCATGGTGTGGGAAACCTGAAAGAGGAGTCCTTGCACAAGGAACAAGAGCTACAGAACCCCATTACTGGGGAGTGGGGATATAAATAAAATTGTCTAAGTAACTTTCACCTGTTGTCCATCTCTTTTTCGCTTCCACAGCATCCTTAAGTTACGTTATCTTTTTTTAGGGCTGTATGTTTTGAAATGAGCCATTATTTCCACAGGTTTAAACACCAGATCTCAAGGGATACCCCTTCACTTGTATTTTACTGCATACAGATGGTGAATTATTACAATTTATAGCTGGAAAATTTAAGTCATCTGGCCTAGTTGCTTATTTTACTTGGCCTAAAGTCCATCTGGGAAGACCTCATTATTTACTCAATATTGTTCAGAGTGTTGCATACTTCTTGCCCACAAACTCAGATGACTATAAAAAAAGCCACAAACACTCTGCTTCAGTAGTAAAAGAATTGAGCCATCAATTGCCTTGGCTCAGACGCGTGCACCGTGGTCCTGCGATCAGTGCTAATTGTGTCTGGTAACAGCTTTGCTGATGGGGTTTATACAAATCCACCTTGGCATCTGCGTCACTGCTGAGCCTCTTGCTGGATGCGCACACCGGGACGTCAGGTCTGGAAGCGGGGAAGGATGAGGAAGGGTCTAAGCATGACACCAGCAGCCAGAGCCCCTCGTCAGCGGAGCAAAACACCCCCCTTGGCTGCATGCCTCGCCTGCCATTGCTCCTGGGAGAAAACGGCAACCTGTTGCTTGAATAGTGACAGAAGGCATCCCACTCCCTCCCTTTTCACCCCTTACACACGAGCACATAATTAGCAGGTATTTAACTATTTGCCTGCCAAAAGGAGGAGCTCCGAGCCAGCATACAACCTTATGTACTCCACGTGGAGAAGGGGAAAAATAGACAAGACTTTCTAGGTTTTTAAAACGGCCAGAAACCAAGCATTAAGGCAGCTGTTACACGCTGCGCTGCTGGCTGCCCT